GGTAAGACCTAGACCCGGGACCGATTTACTTTTTCATTTTGATGTCCCCAGAGGCCAAAAACACCATTCGTTCAAATTTTTATATATGTATATATATATTAGATTTATATATATATATATATATACGTCCGTGAACGCGATAACTTGAGTAATTTTTGTCCGATTTTGATGAAATTTGGTTTAAAGGTGTAAAGCGGGATAAACTTGAATGAGTTCGCGAACCAGCATGATCGGACCATGGGAACGGGGCTTTACGGGGGGTTTTATGGGGTAAAAATTGGTTTTTCTCACTTTTGACCCTCAAAACACAAAATTTCCCGATTTCTCTTTTGACCTTTTTAAAGAGCTTAAAAAAACAAATAATTTAGTATATAAAAGTATTTTTGTTCGATTATTAGTAACGGAGAAAATTAAAAAAATTGTAAATTTAAAATTCCCATGTTATTCTTATGGAGAATATTGTCAAATGTTGTAGTTTGCTTGTTTATGGATATATTTTGATCAAACTTGGCAAATTTATTTATTTTGTACTAAGCTATCAATATTTTACTCAAAAACACACTTTATTAGTTTCCTTGTAGCAGCAAACCTAGGTACTCGTTAAACCTAATGTTATATTAAAATATATTTAACTGAAAATCAATTCAGACAAATGGAAATTCGCTTAGTCGGCAGGTTTGCTGCGGCGGGGGTATTTAACTATGTCACAACCTACAAATGTTTTCAATTAAGGAATCATTTTGTGGAACCAGACTCACAGTTTGTACAAGATTTGCATATTAAAGACCTATGGAGTTTGGATAGTATAGGGATTCGTGATTGCCCTCATCAAAATGATGATGATATAGCTTTGGGTCAGTTCAATGAAACTATTAAGCTTGAAAATAGTAGGTATTCGGTTGGTTGGCCTTGGAAAGAGTATCCCCCTGACTTACCAAAAAACTACAATTTGTCTCTTTCAAGACTTAACTCACTTTTGTACCGTTTTAAAAACAAATCTAGTGTGCTTGAAGAGTACGATAAAACAATCAAGGATCAACTCTGTAACGGAATTATTGAAAAGGCTCCTCTAACGATGACTTAACAGTTTGTCACTATATCCCACACCACCCAGTTATCAATGAGTGTAAAATCACAACGAAACTAAGAATTGTGTATGATGCATCATCAAAGAGTAAAAAGACAAATAACAGTTTAAACGATTGCTTGTACCGTGGACCGGTAATTTTAGAAGATTTGTGTAGTCTACTTCTCAGATTTCGTATGAATCCTGTTGGTATTGTTGCGGACATCGAAAAAGCATTTCTTCAATTAAATTTACAGGAATCTGACAGGGATGTCACTCGTTTTTTGTGGCTTAAGGATACATCCTCTCTTTCACTAGACAACAATGTTGAAGAGTATAGATTTTGCAGAGTACCATTTGGAGTAATTTCTAGTCCTTTACTATTGAATGCAACTATACAACATCACTTACTCCACTCTCAACTTTCTGGGGTTTCTGAACGCTTGCAACATTCATTTTATGTCGACAACACGATTACTGGAACTCAAACCAGTCTGGATGCGGTTATTCTTTTCCAAACGAGTGAAACTATTTTTTCACAAGCTAGTATGAATCTAAGGGGTTGGTGCTCTAATTCTAAGCTATTTATGGCAAGTATTCCTGATGATAAAGTTACTACTGACATCATTTGAAGACAGTGTTTGTGTATTGGGAATAAAATGGGATACAATCAAGGACACACTCTCTGTAAAACCAGTTAAAGTTGAACCTTGTGTTGTAACGAAGAGGACTGTTCTCCATTGGTTGAATACAAATAGGATACTATCAAAGTTCGTTGAGCGAAGACTCTCAGAAATTAAATCACATACCGATGTAGAGTTTCGTTACGTACCTTCTAGTAACAATCCTACAGATTTGGCGACTCGCGGATTGACTATTAATGAGTTGCAGGAGAGCCAGTTATGGTGGTCAGGCCCTGAATTTCTAGGTTCATCGGAACATGAATGGCCACGAAATGACTTTAATCAAATCACTTCAATGTCAGAACAAACTTACCAAGACACATTGAACATTTGTGAACTTCCCACATCTAACCAAGAAGTTATGGCTGCAACTCAAGAATCCACAAGTAAAGGAAGTCCTTTTGACATTGATTGTACAAAGTTCTCGTCAAACTAATTTGAACGACAGCATATTGCAAACGAGCTATTAAAGCATTCAAGAGACTTTCAACTCCATTTACATCTAACAAATTGAGCTTCGAAGAGCTTCATGAGTCTACTTTATGTTGGTTGAGATACATACAAAGCTTGCATTTCAGCACTAGTATTAAAAGCTTAAAACTTGGCAGGACTGATCATCTCCAAAAACAGTTAGGGTTGTTTTTGGATGAATATGGAATATTGAGATGTAGAGGAAGACTTCAAAATGCTTATTTGTCATCGGAAATGAAATTTCCTGTGCTTTTACCTAAAAATGACCACTTTACCAATTTGGTAATAAATGACTATCATGTAAAAACAACATGTTGGTGTTCAACATACGTTATCGGAAGTCCGAAAACACTATTGGATTATTCAAGGAAGATCTCAAGTGTCTAAGATTATCAGACAATGCACTAAATGCAGGAGATGGGATGGAGGTCCATTCAAAATGCCGTCTTTCCCTGCCCTACCTCTGGAACGAGTTACCCAAAATATCCCTTTTTCATTCACTGGTCTAGATTACTTTGGTCCGTTGTATGTGAAGAGCAATGAACTCACTAATGACTCAAGAAAGGTATATGGTTGTATTTTCACACGCTTAACTGTTAGAGCTATTCACCTAGAACTGGTCAGTGATATGACGTCAAGTGAATTCTTGTTGGCTTTGAAGCGATTTGTAAGTAGAAGAGGAAAACCTTTGGAGATATATTTGGACAACGCTCCACAGTTCAAACTAGCTTCTTCATTCTTAGAGAATATCTGGGAAAACAACTTCGTAGATGATGACGTCTTATCTTTTGTACATAGCAATGGCTGTAAATTCAACTTCATTCCTGAATTCGCTCCTTGGATGGGAGGATTCTACGAACGGCTCATTTCTAGTGTAAAAAAATGCTTTGAAGAAAACTATTGGACAATTGAAGTTGACATACACACAGTTAGAAACTGTATTTTACGAAACTGAGGCCATTTAGAATTCAAGACCTCTTGTGTACGTTTCTTCCGAAGACATATGCCTCAGTGATGAAATCATAACACCCGGACATTTTTTAAATTTCCATAGTAAAAATGGTTTTATTGGAAATTTAAAGTCACATAACATCCAAACTAACAAGGACTTCGAAAGAACATCAAGAAAAAACATTCTTGAAATTTGGAAAAAAGGAGAAAATGTGTTAAGTTTATTTTGGAAGAACTGGCTTCAAGATTACATAATGAGCCTACGTGAAAGAAAAACAACTGAAATGAAGCAGAAAAAAGGAACTACAACTAACAAACCAAATGTTGGAGAAACTGTTCTGATCCATGAAGCACTACCACGAGGAAGTTGGAAAATGGGCAGAATAGTAGAACTTCACTCAAGTCGAGATGGTAAAATAAGAAGTGCTACAGTAATTCTCAGCTCGAAGAAGAAAGTTGTACGTCCCTTAAATCTTTTATATCCACTAGAAGTGAAGAATTATTAGTGTTTGTCCTTCGCCCGGAGTGTGCCAAAGGCATGGATTACAATAATATATTTAATGCCAGCTGGTTATAATTCATTTGTTATTGTTTTGAACTTATAATTGTTACTATGGAAATATAAAAACTGTAGATAAAACTCTCTCAACTTATTTCAGTTTTATCAAACTTTTAAACTTATAAAACTAACAACCTTAAACTTGAACAACTAACTATTTGACAGCTTCCTTCATGTCTTCAGTTTTAATATTTATATTTTTTAGTGTGTATAGTTAGTATTTTTCATTACTTATAACTGTGTGTATTGGCGGTCAACTTGAGTTCTGAAATGTCCCTTCAATAAAATTTGTTGTGAAGTGTATTTAAATTTGGAAAACTTGTACTGTAGAGTGAAAAACATGTGCTTTTAAGATGGAAAACTGCTAAGTTTTAGATATTACGTTTTTGACAATGTAAACCAATATAAAATACTAAAATGTTTGTTCCAGTTAATAAACTATTGCTTATTATTAAACTAGTTTACCTTGTGGTTTGCCAGATTCTTGAAATGTGTAGATATCTTGCTCGATGTACATTTCGCTACATGTGTAGCATCGTCAGGAGCACTGTTTGTCACATTAGGCACAAACACTATTTACAAATATTTACATTTTCGGTCGGATGACGATTTACGGTAAAGTCATAGGAACACAGCGCGCGAACACGTGCGCGGACCGGAGGCACTGCATGTGTCATTATTTAACTGACAACTGGCTTGAGATATATTGTTTGGTCGGTCAGGGGATGGGGGTGAGTTTACGATGTTAGAGCTTTCTCTTTCTGGACTGCGATGTTGCCAAGTCTCTGCGCTGTTGCCACATTGATCTTCTAGATGGTTTATAAGTTTGAAAATTATTGAATTATTGTAATCTTCTTTTTTGTTTAACAGGGTGTCTGCATTTGAATTATGGGTATGTTAGTGTTTGTGTTAAATAGCCTAATGTGACAAACTGTGCTCCTGACGATGCTACACATGTAGCGAAATGTACATCGAGCAAGATATCTACACATTTCAAGAATCTGGCAACCACAAGGTAAACTAGTTTATTAATCATTCGTTCTTGAAGCTGGAATAATACACAACTTATTGCTTATTATCTTGTGCACTTTACCGAAAACCACTTTGAAAAAACTCCACTTTTAAATATAAAACTTACTTAGAGAGACAGTTTAATGAATTTTGTCCTTGTATGCCCTTTTCGTTGAAGAGCATTATGAGGTTAAGCAATTTCTGCTCCAGGGCGCTCCAAACCTGGCTACGCCACTGATACCTATTATATTTTTTGCAGGTGTGGAACACTAGAAGACCCTCTTGGTTACAAGCCCTTGTGGAGCCATCACAGCCTTGCCTTCAACCTGTAGTTGATACTGTTCTTGAGGCTCTTCAGGTTGTATGGTGTTATTTATAGTATATGTTCAAACTATAAATTAAAAGGAAACCCAATGTCCTGGGTGTTTCATAAGTCAGTTTACAGTTTTCAGACTTATGAAACACAATACTTTCGTAACTAATGTTGCAACCTCCGTTTGTTAGCATTGAAAATCAGCTGTGAAGGTCATTATTGATATTTGTATATTTAGATTTGAAGTTAGATCTAGATTTGCATTTGCATTTCGTGTTGACAGTAACCATGAACTGCAAACTAACAACCGAGGTGCGTATATTCCTTTTAAAAAGTTGGTGGAAAACAAATAAAAATAGTGAAGAAGTTATTCAATTATTTGTAGAAAGATTTCCTCAAACTCCATCTAGGCAAGGCATTTACTAATTGAACAAACGATTTGGAAATACTGGAGGCGTACATGATTTACCAAGGAGTGGGAGGCCTAGAACCGCTACAGTGAAGCCAACGTATAAACTATCCATCTATATATACTAGGTGGCGTTCGCCGAAGCATCCACAAAATTGAGCGGAGTCATCAAGGGTTCATATTATATTGTTTTTGTCATACTGCAGTAAAAACAGTCGTTTTTAAATAATTTTTAAGCTTTAAAATTTTAATTTTAAATTTTTTAATTTTTTTGCATTGCGGCTCTAAAGTATCATTTTTACTCTTTAGTGAGGAAAAATCGTTTTTAGCCTCTATGGAGTAAAAATCAGCTGTTGTCAAATCAGTTGTAAATATCTATTGAAAGTGATTGCATGTATCGAAATATGTATCGATTCGTGCTTCGTAATCATTTTAACCTACAGTCTACAGTCTCTTCCCATAGCATTTTAGCATTGCAGATACATTAATCCATTCCCACACCCAACACTGCTCACCTTTACAAATTCCTTCACCACCCCCTACGTCGTGGACCTGTTTCCCTCTCTTCCCATAGCGTTTTAGGATTGCAGATACATTAATGTAATTGCCAAAGACAGTTCCCACACTCTGCACTGCAAGCCTTACTAAATTAGCTTTTTGTTTTATGTTGCCTTGAAGTTCTTGATGTTATTAAATTCCTGATGTGCATTTCGCCACAAGAACTTCAACGCAACATAAAAACAATAATGTAATTTATTTAAAAACTTGAAACTGGGTTATATTACAAATTAAGCCTTACTACTTCCTTCACCATTTCCTACGTCATAGACCTGTTTCCTTCCCTTCTCATAGAATTTAAGAATTATATACATTTATCTAGATGCCCAAACGGTTCCCCCACTCTGCACTGCCAGCCTTTACTACTTCCTTAACCACTTCCTACGTCGTGGGGCCTGTTTCCTTCCCTTCTCATAGCATTTTAGGATTGAAGATACATTATTCTAACTGCCACAGACGGTTGTCACACTATACTCATACTTTACAACTTTCTAAGCCACTTCCTACATCGTGGACCCGCTTTCATCACTTTCCATAGCATTTTAGTATTTTAGATACGTAAATCTAATTGCCAAAAACATTGCCCACACTCCTCACTGCTAGCCTTTACTACTTCTTTCGCCATTTTCTATGTCGTGGTCATGCTGCCATCCCATCTCATAGCATTTCAGCATTGCAGATACATTAATCCAACTGCCACAAACGGTTTCCAGTTCCCGCACTCCACACTGCTCACCTTACTACTTCCTTCACCTCTTCTTACGTCGCGGACCTGCTTCCCTCTCTTCCCATAGAATTTTAAGATTGTAGATACCTTAATCTAATCGTCATAAACAGTTCCCAGACTCCAGACAGCTCGCCTTGACTACTTCCTTCACCACTTCCTACGTCTCAGACCTGTTTCCCTCCCTTCCTTTAGCATTATTGGATTGAAAATACCTTAATCTACTGGTCATAAACGGATACCACACTCCTTACAGCTCGCCTTTACTACTTCCTTCACCACTTCCAACGTCACGGACCTGTTTCCCTCCCTTTCATTGGCATTTTAGGATTGCAGATACCTTAATCTAATCGTCATAAACTGTTCCCACACTCCGAACAACTCGCCTTTACTACTTCCTTCTCCACTTCCTACGTCACTGACCTGTTTCCCTCCCTTTCCATAGCATTATTGGATTGCAAATACCCTAATCTATTGGTCATAAACAGTTTCCACACTCCGGACAGGTCGCTTTGACTACTTCCTTCACCACTTCCTACGTCGCGGACCTGTTTTCCTCCCTTCCAATAAAATTTTAGGATTGCAAATACCTTAATCTTATGGCCATAAACATATCCCATACCCCGAACAGCTCGCCTTTACTACTTCCTTCACCACTTCCTATGTCGTACCTGTTTCCTTCCCTTCCAATAGCATTTTAGGATTGCAGATACCTTAATCTAATAGTCATAAACAGTTCCCACACTCCGGACAGCTCGCCTTGACTACTTCCTTCACCACTTCCTACGTCACCGACCTGTTTTCCTCCCTCCCCATAGAATTTTAGGAATGCAGATACCTTAATCTAATCGTCATAAAGAGTTTCCACACTCCGGACAGCTCGCCTTGACTACTTCCTTCACCACTTTCTACGTCGCATACCTGTTTCCTTCCTTCCAATAGCATTTTAGGATTGCAGATACCTTAATCTAATAGTCATAAACAGTTCCCACACTCCGGACAGCTCGCCTTGACTACTTCCTTCACCACTTCTTACGTCGCGGACCCGTTTTCCTCCCTTCCCAAAGAATTTTAGGAATGCAGATACCTAAATCTAATCATCATAAACAGTTTCCACACTCCAGACTGCTCACCTTTACTACTTCCTTCGCCACTTCCTACGTCACGGACCTCAAGCTAGTGTCGTCATTTGATTATATTTTTAATCCATACCGTTTCTGTTCTAATATCTGTGGAATAATCTTAACAGCTATTTCTTTATCTACTGCATTTAAAAGTCAACAGCTGATCATAGGCCTATGTCTTTGTTTATGTGTCAAATACTGCTTCCATCAGGATTACATTGAAACTTTGAGACCCAGTGGGGCGGATTCCTGTGAGACTTGTTTAACGCCATATAGATGTTGGCACTCACCGATATGGTCTTTATCACCATGCAAAATTTGAAAACGATTGATTCAGCCATCTAGGAGGAGTTTGCGTATTACGAAATGCATAAGAGTCGACGTATAAGAGCTTTGCTCGCTTCGCTCGCTCCGCTCAATAATACGCTAAGCCGATTTTTGTGAACAGAACTCCTCCCTCATTTTTGGACCGATTTTGATGATTAAAGTGTCAAAAGAATTGCCCTGATCTGTAGTTTTGCAAAGTGTTTTTCGTTTTTTGATATCTTTATTAGTTTGGGCAGGATCTTCCATCAAAGTTGGATTTCCTCCCATAAGATTAACATGGGGGAATCTAAAAATTTAATTGGAAACTTTGTCTCCACTAATTTGAGAGAATGGCTGGGCGTAGAAACTTGGTAGGGGTGTCAAAAGAAAGGTCTTGGTCTGTAGATGAGTTATCAGAAGAAAAATCAATTAAATTAATTTAGGGCTCTGCCCCAGAAGCCTTTAAAGATCCCTCTACAGATTTGTTTACATTTTGGCCATGTGGATAATACTTTTTAATGAAACAGCTGTTAATTTGTAAATTGTATTTTAAACAAGACACATTAATTGGGAGTTACTGAATTGCATTGAATTGCAATGAAGCATTTTCAATGTTTTTTTCTGATTTTAAAATAAATTTTACTCTGTATCATGTCATGTTTTGCAATATATGACGTTCTATGACGAAATCAGTGAAAAATCCTTTTATCACAGTAACTCTTAAAATTATTTCTTATTGACCTTACATATATTGTACGGGTTGGTGACTGCCCTTTTCACCATTTTGTCTTTATTTTTATCATATTGTTTTAGACAGATCATCATAGGTTCATGAGATTATTTTCATACATGTTAAAGTTTTCGATCATTGGAAAAATATTCAATTGTGTAATACAATACAAAAAAATAGCCTACAAGTGCAGAAGGGCACGGTGCCCATTTGAGCCGTGTCCATATTTTGTTAAATTAATAGTAGTTTACAGCAACTGGATAAAACATTTTACAATATTTATGTAGAAATATTTGCATGATAAAGAAAGTCATTAAGCTGGAAAACTGCAATATACTGCAGACTTTTCAGAGAGGTTACTTCGATGTATTCATTCAGCTTAGTGAAAACATAATATACATATGTATACAAATAAGAACTTAAATTCTTAGAGAGCCTTTGAATGTTATTAGAAAAGGGTTGTGCATGTTTACTAGCGCTACTCAGCAACCATTTAATTTATCTCTAAAATATATATTTTTAAAGTGCACTGATCAGCAGCAAAAAAATCTATGTAACTTACCCATATGTTATTGAAAATAACACAACATTTTGGCTGTAAATATGGCCCAATGAGTAAATAATATTTAAGAAGCTACTGCCATGACTGAAAGTTCATATTCCTTTTAAACTAGATCACATCATCCTTTACGTTGATACGTTAAGATACGCTGATTAACAATGCATGTAAACGTCAATATTTACGTGACAGCCAATTTACATTAGTTTTGCTTTTTAAAAATGCCTCATTGCTATGTCATTTGCATTATTTGTTGCCAATGAAGCCGCATATAAATGAGGAGGCCCCTAACAGTTTAAGAATAAAAGCCAACTTCACTTCAAGTATATTCCACTACACCTAACATTCCGGAGAGAGAGATTATATTGACAACTTTATGTAATTGATATGGCTGAGACAACTAACTGACATCCCCCATGTCAAGGAATTCCAGCTTTAACAGTAACCCCACAACAATTTTCTGAAAACTGTGATAGAGGATTACAGAAGTACGAAATGAACTAAAGCGACGTGACGAAGGAAAAATCAAACTTACACTGTAATGGATATCTCCCTTTGATGTTAGAACGTGTCTTCCCAACAAACAGATATTTTTTTTTCAAATAAAATCATAGATTAATCTGCATTACACTGAT